CCCCCCCCCGAAAGTTTTCTGCGGGCGCCCATGTATGCGTATACTGATTAAGCTAAGTAACTAAGTATATTACTTATACTACAATTGTGTATATACTTTATACTGCATAATATTTAGTATAGTAATAGGCTATTACTATTATACTACCGGTATACAGATATTACCATACTAATATTAGTAATAAATTTGCCCTTTTTTTATAATTGAGAGTGAAAAAAATTCGATAATAACTCATGACGGTTCAGTATACTAATAGTAATATTAATATTAATAATAATAATAATAATGAAGTTCATTTCAAAAACACGCTTCAGCCCCAAAGGCTCGAAGCGCGGTACAATGTCAACAAAAAACAAATCTATAATTTACCACATTTAAAACAAACGCAACACTACAAAAACTAATTACTAGCATACAATTGCAAAGTCTTTCTAGCCATTTCAACCCCAATATTAATAGCCTACATCCAACAATAATTTTTCACCAGTCTAGATCTAATGCATTATATGATTATTCGCAGATTTCGGTCTGCCGATAACGCTAAACATTATTCACAGAGCTGTGTGAATAACGCTCGCCGTTATTCACAGATTTCGGTCTGCCGATAACGCTAAACGTTATTCACAGAGCTGTGTGAATAACGCTTCCCTTTCAAATTTCCTTAATTTTCCCCTTCAAAAACGTCACAAGCACACAGCAACAGCTGCACAAATAATTTCCTCACTAAAACACCCGCCAATTGAACAAATCATTAACATTCCTCCCCTTTTGATTTTGAAAAACGGATTTTTGAGGGTGGGGCTGAAAATTTGATCAAATATTTGTTGTCATTGGCAATGATCAATGAGGAGTCTATGTGCCAAGTTTCATCTCAGTAGGTTAACAGGAAGTGAGTCAGTCTGCTTCCTATTGAAAAACAGGAAAAATATTTGGGGGGTGGGGTTGAAAAAAAAGACGATAATTTACTTTACAAATATTTTTAATAATGAAATAAGTTGATTATTTATATTTTATTTTTATTAAAAAAGTTAAGTATCGAATTTATTGTGCTAAAATAAGGGTTACCTAAGTTTATACGAGATAAAAAAATGGAAGACATATGAGATGCTTGGCAATGTTGTCCGTAGTTTCGGTTGTCTATGTGCTCACTTGTATGTTTGCTCACTTATCTGTATGGTCACTTGTTTGTGCTTTTACTTGTCCTGCATTCAGTTGTCTGGGAACAGTTTGTTGCATTGATAGGAAATTATGGAAATCAATTTCTATACTCCCTTCAAGACTTCAAAATTTAGAGCAAAGTGTAGATTATTCTCTATTCTGTAATAGTAATATGTATAACTAACTTAATACTCACATCTTTATTATAAGTCAGAATGGATAATGTTGTAAAACTTTGAATATTTCATGTAAGGCCAGTGTTCTGTCCAAAAGTCTAGTTGATAAAATACCAGGGTATGTCAACGTCAGTGGCCATGAAAAAGCCAACTCTCAGGTCAAAACTGGGGCTGCCCCGCCTCAGCCAGATGTTCCAGTAATTTACCTGGAAATCAAAACTGGCTGGCAGACCATGGTACAGGAAATGGTACAGGCAATGGGCAGATAACAAGACTTTTGGAGGCTAGATAATAACAGGGACCCTACCTGCCAGCATTGCAGCCTGGTCCTTGAAAAATTAGAGCATTTGTTGACTGAATGTCCCTCTCTAGATGTTTTGAGGGAAGCCAGGGCGGTGGGAGAGCCCTACATGAGGAAAATGTTCTATGGCTCAGCTCAACAGATGGAGCTGGTAGCCAATATACTATGTGGTCATGTGAGAGTAATCTCAGACCCTCACCAGAATATCTGCATTAGGTAGTTGATAAAATTAGTTAAATTGAGGATAATTTAAATGAGGCAATTTTGTATGGCCCCATAAGAAAGCAAAGGTCATCTATAACTTATTATTTTCATAATAAACTGTTACTTATTTATCCAGCAGCCTCGGTCAAAAGTATTAGCTATTAATATAAAGATGTTCTTAACTTCAAAAAGTCCATTGCCCTGGCTATAAGTTTAAGAAGTGCAAATTGTACTATCATTAGTAGGCATACAGGGGCCATCCATATATCATGCTTTTTGGCAGATTCCCCCAGATACTCTTACTCATATACTTTTGTCAAATATTACCCTATACAACGAAATGCTAACGTATTAAACTCAGCAGTAAATAATTTTCTCTACCGGATATCGATAAGGCTAATCTTTATTTATTTTACCTGTATATATTTTTTGAAATATTTTTTATTCATCTCACAAAAATTGAATTCTCGATGTTCTTTTGAATTTTAAAAGGGTGTACAAATTTTATGAAGTAATAATTTTGACAAGGGTGTAGGCTCCACATATTTTATCAAGTAATTTCTGAATTCTCAATACTTTTAATAAATATGACTTTGTTAAGATTTAGTATAATATTCATTATTTATATAATTTAGGTGATCCGTGCTTGAGTTTTGAAGCTTTGAGAGATGGACTTGGGGAGAACAGAGAAAAGTTTCCTTTAACATCTTACCTTTTGGGGGGCACTCAGTCAGAGGCAGGACACTTCAACTACATTATGTTAATGAAAATGTCTAATATGCACAAGACACAGAAAGAAGAGAAAGATGATGAGGAAGAAAGTGAAGAAGAAGAGGAGGATGATGATGATGATGATAATGTTGAAACTGGTAGTTCCAAGACACCCAAACTTCATCAAACTTTAATAAAGCACAACGGATGTGTTAATAGAATAAAGGTATTCTCTTTTTAAAAAAAAAATTTAACTTTTAATTCAGAACTTAAGAGGTTAGTTTATTAAACCAGAATCATAAAAGGTTAGGAAATAAAACAATTAAAAAGATGTGTGTAGCAAACTAAGAAGCTGTTGCATTTTTATTTTTCTGATCAAACCATAACATATTTTAGTTTAAAGCTAAGTTGTTTTTTTTATAAAACATTCCTAACTCACAGCTACAGATCTACACTGAGCAGTGAGAAATGGTTAATGGACAAAAAAAAATGGAGCAACTGTTTTGTATAGCTTTATCAATTCTGTGTGGCCAATAATTTGCTTTACCCTTTATTCAAACCACAATTAAAGGCCTTTTCATATTTAATATCAAGTTACTTATTTATATATTATTATTATGGCATCATTCCGTCTACGTGAGACGATGGAGTAGCTATATAGTTCTACACTTTGACGAGTGGCTCACTAGGCCAATCCTTGAATGGCAATCACGGCGCATCTCTCGCAGGAGAATGTTGAAACCCTGTAAATTCTTGATTTTCTAATTGTTCTTTTTGATTCAAGGGCCTCTTTTCGAGTATCTTCTGCCTTTTTCACTCCCTCCAAAAACTGCTGTACGCCAGTTGGAGCGATGTTCGGAAATGAACTCTCATTCGTTTGTTTCAATATTGGCTTCCCTCATGCTTCGTTTGCAAACGTCAATAAATCTCAGGCGCAGTCGTCCAATATGTCTTGTACCCTCTGCCAACTCTCCATACAGCAGAATCTTTATATTTATATATGACATTCATTATTAAATGTTACTGGTGCTAACTTGTCTTTTTTTTTCTTCTGTTGTTATCTGTTATTAAAACCTTGAAGAAAACTACTGTGGTCTATTTATAATAAATTCGTATTTTCACCATAATAATAGTTAACTGAAGTTTTGTTTTTCTTCTCAAAATGATTAAATGATTTTTTTAACACTAAAAAATCCTTTTTGTTTCAGTCAACAAAGATAAACGATCACATCCTATCTGCCTCGTGGTCTGAGCAAGGTGTTGTCTATATCTATGATGTTACTTCTCATTTGAGCATTCTGGATACTCCTGACAGAATACCTGAATTTGAAACAACCAATATGCAGACAGCCTCACTATTTGCATTTGATGGTCACAGAATTGAGGGCTATGCTCTGGCATGGTCAAAATATGAATTAGGTAACTCTTTTTTAAGATGTCATCAACAATACAGCAACACCGCCACATAGAAACAAGGCAATTTAATATGCTTTAAGTAAATATTTCAAATTCTGCAATGCTAGAATAATGTCCGACTGTTCCGTTATCCAAAGTGCTGAAGATGTATTGGTTAGAATGATTGTACTAATAGGAACTTAAAACACTTTTTTCACTTACCCCACTATCTAAACTATATGTTTTGCTTCTAAAGACCTTTCACTTGTTGAATATGATGATAATAATAAATATTCACTTAAAACTGGCTTTTATTCATAATAAACACTTAAGTGATAATGAACATCATAATAATAATAAACATTTCTGGCATGTTATTTTCTTATTTTTGGTTAATCAGGAAGGCTTTTGTCTGGTGACTGTAACAAAAATATCTACATGTGGCAACCAACTGAGAGTTCTTGGAAAGTTGATTCACGCCCATTTGAAGGTCACACAGCATCAGTGGAAGACATTAAATGGTCCCCCAAAGAGAGTAATGTAGGAGTCACATACTTCTCTTGATACATTTATATTTCACCTCGCCAAAAGTGGTCCATTATTAACTTGTCTTTTTAAGAGGTTACCTAAATTCGCCCACCTTAGTTCAAAATAGCTTACCTAGCTTTGAATCTCTATTAGAAACAAAGCTAACACTCAGTAAGTGTCTGTTTTCAGAACAGCATGCTTTAAATACTTCCCCATTTAGAGGTGTTATAATAAAGGGGATGGACTGCAATAAAGATTTGAAGTAAATTAATGAGACACAAACAATTTGTGTAAATAAAACTATCTATGTTGTTAAGCTTTAATGGTGATTAGAAAAAAAATTAAAACATTTCGGGTTATGCCTTCATGGGTACGACAAAAAACATGTATATAAATATAATTATATATTAAATTTACAAAATAAAAATATATCCCATGTCTACCTAAAAGTTTGCCCATTCCTATTCTTTTCCTTCAAGTCCCTAACAATAACAAAGATTAGAAGAACAGTGTAATTGTAATGCAAGTGCAATAAACATGTATTATTTTGCTCTTTAATCTGTCCATAATCTATCTGCATTGTAATCTGTATTACAGCCAAGTAGAGTAAGAGAGTTGCAATGCGCCCAACATATTTCATGTTTGTTTTATTATTATTATTAGTTTAGCAGTATCCACTTCAGTAATGGCTAATAATATTGGCTGAAAGCTTTTGATATAAAGTTACATAAATTAATGTAAATGGTTTTTGGTGACATAATTTGGACTTAAAATGGTAATTAAAGTAGTTATTGACAGGAAAAATTAAAATCTTCATGTTAGCATGTCATGTCATCAGTGTCAACTTTTTGTTGACAGGTATTTATGACCTGCTCAGTAGATAAAACATTAAGAGTCTGGGATGCACGTGCTGATCCTAGTAAGGCTTGCAAGCTGGTAGCGACTGATGCTCACCTCAGAGATGTAAATGTCATTGACTGGTCTGAATTTGAACCTTTAGTGATATCTGGTGGAGATGATGGACTTATTAAAATATGGGACTTACGGATGTTTACGGTAACAAGACTTTTATAATAATAATAATTCATTCTTTTTTGTATTAGTAAAAGTAAAAGAAATATTTAAATATTTTGAAATCTTCTCTATTCTAAATATAATTTTAGGAGATATTTCATATTATTTTAATTCAGTAGTACATATTTCATACAGTATACCGGAATTTAGTTAATTTATTATTAATTCCAAAGTTTTTCAGATACGTTGACCTGATACAATACTTTTTGTTAGAAAAATAATGTGTTTTCATAATTTCTAGAGGGGCAAGGAAGTGGCAGTTTTTGAGCACCATAAAGGACCAATATCATCTGTTGAGTGGAACCCGATGGACAGCTCTGTGTTTGTTGTGTCTGGTGCAGATGACCAGGTGACCATATGGGATGTTGCTGTTGAGAGGGATGAGACAGCTGAAGAGGAGGAAGAGCCAGATGTACCACCTCAACTCTTGTTTATGCATTTAGGCCAGAAGGACATTAAAGAAGTACACTGGCATCCACAAATCCCAGGATTAGTCTTTTCCACAGCACAAAGTGGCTTTAATGTTTTCAGAACTATCAGTGTATGAGATGAAGAAGTGTTTGTGACTTTTTGCAATATATGTATAAAAATAATACTAATAAACATATACATTTTATGTAGCTGAGTCTTCTTCGATTTTTTTTTTTTGGAGCTATTTCACTTGAAATTAATAACACTACCGGTAATTATATTTTAAGTTTGTAAGGAAATAAAGTTCAAGATGAACATTTTATATACCGGTATCACAAAAAATTCAAATTTCAGGGTTTACTGCCAAAGTTACTTTGTGATTTATAACTTCTCCTTGTTCTATAAAGAAACAATATTCAGTTCCAACAATATAAAGTTTAATGATTCTTGTGGGATAAATAAAAATATTAAAACTGGAAATTTAAGATACCAAACATTTTATAAAAAAGTTACTTGTAAGAAAAAATTTAACCAAGTACCGGGTACTGTACAAAAAAGATGAGATCATTTCTAAAGTTTTTATTGACAAAATGTAACAATTCCCATACAAGTACATGGCAAAATTTTATTTAAATCAAACTGTCACATTCATTTTGTTCAATCAAAAGTATTGTAACTGTACATGTACTGTAAATTTTATAAATTATCATCAATAAAATATTACATTCCATTAGAAGAGTGATTTTTTTTACAAAGTATTTCATATTCAGATAAAGAAAATTATGTGTCAAACTTAATATCTAGAAACAAGTCCTTTGTGAAATATCAAAAGTATGTTTTAATGTTTCTTTACTCAGACCTGTTTACTCTTACGATTTTGGCGTACAATGTACGATTTTGAGGTGTATGCACTGTGTTTTTTTTTTACTATTAAGATAATGTGTTGAACGATTTTGTGGTGATATTGTACGATTTTAAGAGTTTCGGGGTAAACAGGTCTGTTTACTTGAAATGACATTAATCAATAAATGTCCATAACAAAAGTGTAAAATTAATTGAATGACATAGAAGATGCCAAATTTTATTAATTTACTTGGGAGGAGAGGGGGATATTAATCCCAATAATAATGCTACTGTTACTAATTACATAACATTTTTTAGGTTAACAAATATTCACAATCACAGCCGGATTAAATAACTGGAAGTGCAGTAGTGTCTATGGAAGTTCTTACAAATTATATTACATACCTTTATAATATTTAAAATTGTTACAAAAATATCTTGCCGTTCCCCCTTTTCCTAAAAACATAAAACATCAGCACCAGCATTACCACTTTATGTTTAGGGCATTTGTAGATTTTTCTATCTCATGATATTTTGTGTGAAGCATTTGTAGAGCTTTGGCAGAGCCCTTGCCACCCAACCAGTTTTCATACATAGTTTCTATCTGCTGGTGCTGGAATGGGTCAACTGTATTCACGCTTCTGTAAATTTCTTCAACTGCTTGCAGCCTTTCTTTTTGACTTTCCTCTCCAGTTGCTCGGATTTGACCACCACCGTTGTTGCAAGCTGAAGGGCAGGCCATGATCTCTACATAATGATAACTGCACTTGCCACGCTTTATTCTCTGAACAATGTTTTGAATATTTCTAAAACCATAAGCTAATGCAAACCTTAAGGGAGGTTTGCCTTCAGTTTCGATGGTTACCTCTTGAAAGTCTTGATTTCTGTGAGGGAAATTAAAGTATAAATTAAATTTCTTAAAATAATATCAAGACAGAAAATTCAAACTTTCTATTAATTTTAAAAAATGACCAAATTCAATGATCCCAATGGTTTAAAATAATGTATAATTTAAGTAAATTAAATGCTTTTCATAATTATCTTTTGACTGCAGTATTGCTATAAATGAAAACTTGACAGATATATCCTCAATAGTCATGAAACCATTCCAGTAGGGCATGGTATGAAAGGAAAAAATCATGACTGGTGCCAGTAACTTCAAAAAATGGTATATCGGTACTGGTCTCAAGACATACCTTAAAACTTTATAAGACAGATTCTCCACTTGTGTTTCAAGAATTGTGGCAGCAGCAAACCTGGCAACATGCTCTAAGTAGCCACCTGATCCACCTCCTCGATGACTGCACAGCGGGTCATCATTTGATCCATTAACACTAACGGTAAATTAAAAAATTTTAAGGCCAAGTAGTGTCATGCTATTATGGCAGTAATACTAGTGGATTGATGTAACTTTTAACTGGTTCACCACTTTTGACACAATAAGATGAAAATAAAAAAATGCAGCAATATCCCATTAGGGTTAAAAAAAATAATTAATTTCTCTGACTCTGTAGTGTTTTAAATGTTTCTGAACCCAAAGCTAGTGCAAACCTTAGGGGAGGTCTTAAAAGATACATATTTTGTCTTCATTTTTGACCCGCAAGACGATATTTTGCATCCCGCTGTATGACAGAAAAGTTTAATGCTAATGCGCTGGCGGGTTTCCCCCATTCTCGTAACTGTAACGTGACTCTCCGCGACGGTTTCAGTCGAATCTCACCAACTAGTCTAATTCTAATTCTTTTAAATTTTACTATACATTTTTGTATGATGATTATAATGGTAAGAACCGTTGTAAAATTGTAATAACATTTTTTATTTTATAGCTTTTTATGAGACAAACATGGAACGAGTGCGACTTTGAGAAAAGTTTTAAAAGTAAGTTAGCAGGTAATGCACAACCATAATTGTGTAAATCGTAGAAATCTGATACATTATCAAAGGATCCATATTAAAATTGCCGCTGGTGTTTACGAGTGAGGGAAATTCCGAGCCTGTCAGTTTGGTCACTTTCGAAATCTTCTTCTAATGCCTTTTTACCCAGTCTGGGGCATAGGCCATCCACAAGAATTCTCCATTCATCACGGTCCTGTGCTTTCCTTTCCAGTTGTTTCAAGGTGTATCCCATATTTTGCATGTCTGCCTCTAGCTCGCGTCTCCTTGTATTCTTTGGCCTTCCTCTCTTTCTTTTACCTGAGGATTCCATGTTCGGAATTGTCTGGTGATGCTATCGGGATTTTTTCGGAGAGAATGTCCAATCCATCTCCATCTTTTCTTTCAGATGTCTTCAAAGATGGCTTAGTTTGTTTTTAAAAATCGTTTAATTTGTTCTTAAAGATCGCTTAGTTTGTTCTTAAAGATGGCTTAGTTTTTGTTTAAAGATCTTTTAGTTTGTTCTTAAAGATCATTTAGTTTGATAAAAAAATATCGCTAAGTTTTTTGTAAAGATCGCTTAGTTTGTGTTATTAAAAGATTGTTTAGTTTGATCATAAAGATCGCTTAGTTTGTTCTTAAATTTCCCTTAGTTGTTCTTAAACATCATTCAGTTTGTTCTTAATGATCATTTAGTTTGTTTTTATAGATCTTTTAGCTTGTTATTAAAAATCTTTTAGTTTGTTCTTAAAGATTTCTTATTTTGTTGTTGAAGATCGCTTAGTTTTTTCATAAAGATCGCTTAGTTTGTTCTTAAAGATAATTGATTTTGTTCCTTAAGATGGATTAGTTTGTTCTTAAAAATCGTTCAGTTTCTTCATAAAGAACATTTAGTTTTCTGTTAAAGATCGCTTAGTTTATTCTTATAAATCATTTAGTTTACTATTAGAGATCATTTGTTTTGTTCTTAAAGATCATTTAGTTCGTTCTTAAAAATCGTTTAGTTTTTTCTTTAAGATCGTTTAGTTTGTTATTAAAGATCGCTTAGATTGTTTTGATATTCAACAACAAACTAAGCAACATTTAAGAACGAACTATTCCTAAATGTCGCTTAGTTTGTTGTTGAATATCGTTTAGTTTGTTCTCAAAGATTGCTTAATTTGTTCTTAAAGATCACATTATTTGCTTTTAAAGCTCCCTTTATTTGTTTTTAAAGATCTTTTGGTTTGTTCTTAAAGATCGCTTAATTTTTTCTTAAAGATCGTTTATTTTGTTTTTAAATGTCCCTTAGTTTGTTTTTAAATATCGCTTTCGCTGAGATGACCGAAAACCTCAGTCACTTTCCGCCGGATGGCCGAAAGTCTAAATCAATTTTGGCCGAAACCAAAAAAAAAAGGAAGTTAACTTTTCTCTTTCGGCCGAAACCGAAATTAAGCTGAAAGTTAACTTTTCAGTTTTGCCCGAAACCAAAACTTGGCCGAAAATTGATAAAATGGCAGCCTTCGGCGCCGAAACCAAAATTCAGTCGGTCTCTACTGTTAAGATTACAATGTTATCCTGAACTTCAAAATTAATTTAAAATCTACTAACTATTAATCTTGTTAGGGTAATGAACTCAAAGATAATTGGTAATCTTTGAATTTTTTGGATATCTTACTTGGAATTAGTTTATTATAGATAAAAATAAAATGGTACTGCCAATAGGAAATTTGTTTAAATATACATGCTTGTTCTTAAGCCAAGTTGTTCATTCATAAGCAGAGCCCCTTAGTTTTGGATGGGAAAAGCCTGACAAATGTAGAACCTGCTAACAAGATTAAATATAATTTATTAATTTCCTTACATTGATTCCACATTGACTTCATCAACATCTGCCAAAGAGATACCTTCTTTTTCTAGCATCTTTTCAACTTCACCTGCAATAAAATAAATCCCATCCAAAACTGTTATGGTTTCTTCTTGAGAATTCAAATAATTTTTTTTATAACACCCTTTTGTGTAATCTTACAATGCAAAAAGGGAAATGCATTATTCAACACTCAATGAAAAGATTTCTTCAGTTAAAAACTAGTTTTTAGGATTTTTAAAATTAACCCACGAACTGTGTTCGGCCGATTTCCTCTTCCTGTACTGTGTCGGTTAAAAGAATCGGTAGATAAAAATTACTTGCAAGAACAACTTCCAGTCTAATATTTTACACTAAATAACACTACTTACTTTTAATAATAAATAAACTTCTGTTTTTCTCTCTTCTGTGTCCTTTTTTTAAACTTTGGAGTTATTTTTTACAATGATCTTTATCAAGCAAATTTGTGTAAGTAGATTTTCGCAAAATGGATGAGGCCATAGCTGGACTATTTGACGTACAAAATAAATCAGTTAGGAATCTTTTTGATAATTCTTTTTTAATGAATTAAGTGATTCAGAAGGTGATTTTCCGACCCCACACAAAGCCAATGATAATTCCGAATATTTTTCTAGTGGGTCAGAAAACAAAAGTTCAGACAATTTAGACCTAGGCCTAGAACGAGTAGGCTTGCCGCAACAACAAGACTGGTTCAAAACTATGTTGCAGATGATTTTGTACCCACAAAAAATAATTGGATATTCCTCTATATATGTTTTCTTATATTTCATTTTATGGATTAAATATTTATATACCTAGCAGCTTTTTAAATTTTATCTATTTCTTGCTATTTAGTAATGTTTATATTGTTTATGTCCTGCTTGGTTACTTGAATGTAATAATTAGGTATCATCTATTAATGCTTAAAACATACAGGCCTTCAAATAATACATTTTCTGAAAGATAAATAAAATTGCTATCATATTACGGTATATAAACATTATAATATGCCTTTTAAAAATTGTAGTTTGGGGTACTTGCAAATAAAACTTTTCATTATTTTCTTTATTCTTGGCCACTCCAAGGTCAAGGAAAAGGTCACAGAGTATAAAATAGCATTAACAAAATAGCAATTATGATTCCCCACTCAATAATTTCAATAAATATATGCTTTATGGGGTCTAGCTATAGTATTTGCATGTAAAAAAAATCACCTTTTTCAAAGGCACCCAAAAAGCTGTAAATTGCCCGCACAGTATAGAAAAATAACACACAGTTCTTGGGTTGAAATACGGATTGGTGAAGAAAAATATAATTTGCATATTTCGGAAAAGTGGATGACATTCCCCGCCTTTCAAAATCAGTATTCTATGAGACAGGATTATAAGCAACTTGAGAAAGTAGAATCCCTACAGAAAAAACACAGTTAGTGAACATAAAGAGGATACCCAAAACTAAATAACGAATGTCTGAGCTGCCTCAGTACTGGTATGTAGCAAATAATGATGGAAAACCCTATGCAGTTTATGAGAAATAATTAATCAAAGCTGTAAAAAGGATTGATAAACAAAAAAATGTTATCTTGATAAAGATAAATTCAGAACAAAATAATTTTTTTTTTACATATTGAAAGTACTGGAAAGTACTGTTAAGAAAATACTTGATTTTCTAAAATCATACCAGATGTAATGACACAATCCACATCTCTTGTCTGATAGACTTCTTGAAAGAAATCTGCTCTTGATGCTTCGAGTTTCTTGTCAAAACAGGGCATCACAGTTACATGGTAGATAGAGTCAGGAGTTTTGTTTAGCTTTTTACCAAGATAATCTTTCACCAATGAACCCATTATTTGTTGAGGAGATTTGGTGGAGCTTATGTAAGGGAGAATATAGGAGCCATGGGTTTTTTCTGCATAGCAAATCCAACCTGGTAGTGAAAGAAATGAAATGATTAAAATATTAAATAATTGAGAAGGATCAAATACTCAAATACAGACAAAATAACTAGGGTAAATTTTTAAAAATGTTTAAAAGTTATTAAAAGCTATCGAAAATTATATAAATCCTTACAAACTATTTAACTTGAATCAAACCTGGGCATGCCGAACTAAGCATTGGAAGAGAGGACTTCTCTGTTTCTGATGCATTGTATCGACGAATAAACTCATGACAACTCTCAATAAGACTAAAATTACGGGCAAATGAGGTATCGAAAACATGATGCACACCTATAAAAAATAAGACAATAAACAAACAATGATTATTGCTATTTTTACAACAATTTTTAATTTTTTTTTTAGATGGATTAAGATGTACATTTTATGCCAATATGATTCTGTACTTTTAACCATTTCTGCCCAACTTACTTTTGATTTAAACCAACACATCTGCCTAATGGGCCATAACTCCTATTCCTAACATGTGTATTTAATTTAGTAAAAAGAAATAACATATAAAAATTGAAAATCTAGTGTTGTTTAATTTTTTTACAAGGCATAAAAAATTAATGAAAGTGAATAATCACAAAAACAGAATCAAAAGAAATTTGTATACTTCAAATTATAATATCTAAATTTAAACATTGGTACATTATCCCAAATTCATGGCCATTACAGCAGCCATCCCACCACCATTGACATCGATTCCCAATGTACTAGTTTGAATTTTTAAGTCTGAATTAGAGTTATCTCCACCCAAGAGATCATCATTATTATTGTCTGCATCAACTTCAATACCGTCTACATCGGTATATGGAACCATTTTCATCTTCTCAGCTTATATGGGAATGAGCTTGCTTGCTGCTCTGAACTAGCAAATACAAAATAGGCTGTATGCAGCAACATTTTGGAAATTCAGTGGGAACTCATCAGCACTTCAGTCAGGAGTGGATTAAGTTAAAAGCCAGTAAAGAAGAAAAAACAAAAAGCACTCACCCAGACGCTTAAAAAAAGAAGTCAATTTTTTGGCAGCTGCATCTGCAGATAACTTATATTTGGCAGCTAGAGATGCCTGGGCTTGTGGTGAAATAGAAACAACCACAAGCTTTTCCTTATCTTTTTCATCAACCTGTAAAACAAGTGTTCAAACAAGTTAAATCCGGTAATAGTTATTTATCTGTTCCATCTAAACAAAAATATATGAAAGTCTTAAGAGAGAATATTCAAGAGCAAAATGATTTGTCTTCAATGTTATATCCTCTTTTTGGGCTGAGATTAATCTCTTATAGCCCTGGCTAATATTGTGGCGGCTGGCCTCATCTGGTGGGCATCGTGGTAAATCATGTCTTCAAGGCAGGTTCTGGGTCTTAATCCTACCCCCCTCTCCCATTTGTCTTCAATAAATTTTTTCATCTAATTGGAGATAGATAATCACATGACTGGAAATTGAAGGTTCAGTTTAGAAATAGTATTCCTCAAAGGTAAAAGATGATAATGATGTTACTACTGAGTTTGAAATGAGGAGAACACACCTCTCTGTATGTTGAATTTTCACCAAGTACCCTGTACAGTTCCTCTTGACTTTGTTGAGTGATTAAAACACTTTCTGCAGAAGTAATGCACCCACTGCAAGCCAGGCAGTCATTCAGAGTTATCTTTGCCTTCTCCAAACGAGTTTCTACACCTTCCTGATAAAATAAACACGTCAGTAGTTTATTATTGAATTGCTCGTTTTTAAAATAAGTTTTAAATACTGGTACTGGTAACAAAAATCATTGGATATGCAATGGAAAAAATGTCAAATGATAATCTTCAGTTTAATCATTTTTTTAAGTAAAAATTTTTAAAGTATAAAGCTCATAGGCAAAGTTTAAGGTTGCCAGGTGTCCACTATTTGAGCGGACAGTCCGCGTTTTCACAATATGTTCTATTTTTTTTCTATTTCTATTTTTCTATTTTTTTTCACAAAATAGTGGACATTTTTTTAATTCAAAAGTTTTATGACGAAATGGTACGTAATCAAAGGCTGTACAGTCTTAGAGAATAAGGATAGGAGAATAGCATGTTTGTTTTTTTTAATAGTTAGAATGAGACAAAGATTTACTAACCATTGAGCTCGATTAAAAAAAAAAATAAATTATTAATCATACTATGATACTCAATTGTTTCACAAGACATTTAATAAAAGTAGATAAAATTATTTACATACTATTTTTCTTAACTCGCATTTACCTATTATTTTTATATTATACTTTTTTCTTAGTTGGATAGGCATGTTTTGGAATTTGAAACTTGGAACACTCAATAACATATCATCATTTGAGGTTCAATGAGTACTAGCCTCAATATGTAGAGCGTAAATTTGTCAAAGCAAAGATTTTGTTGCAGCATTATAAACATAAAAGTTAATCATTGTTTTTATGTAAATACTATTTTGCTGTGCTCTTATTAAATCACCATGTAAGTAATATTAGGTTATTTTTTTACTACTTAAACCCCCACCCCCGTTTGTCCACTATTTTTTGGCAACCCTATCAAAGTTTTAAAAAAGAGTAGATATTGGTAGAGTGAATAATGTATTAATTTTGTGACAAATGCTAAGACATTTTCTAGCCTTTTTTAGTTTAAAAGACTTTTACAAAATTATCACCTGAGATATTTCTGTATAGCTGCCATCGTCTTCAATACGAATTTTTCCAACTTTCCCAGACTTTCTTTCAATCTTTACAGGCTTAATACACTCCTGAAACAAAACATTGGAGATGATTGCTTATCAAAACAAAATATTTTGGGTCTTTTGGGATTTTTTTTTAATATGTGTTTTGTGCAGTTGAAAGAAAGTGATAAGTGATGACTTTCTTTTCTCTCATCACAAAATCATGACTTGACAGTGACTTTTTAATCGTCCTTTATTAGCTCAAGGGAGACAGTACCCCGGTATCAAAAAATATATATTTTTTTACACCCCACAAACGTTTGATATTTTTTTCTAATCAGTAAAAACTCAAGTTGTACTGTTTTAAAAATACAATCCAACTTATTATGCCCAGCTGGTTACCCAGTACTGCCAGTAGCCATAGTGTCTATGAGTTTGAATAAGTATGTTGAGTATGTATATATAGAAATAATTTACTAAGACTAGGTACATCAAATCACTCTGGAAAGTACTAAGAAATTAATGGTATCCCTCAAAAGCTTACTAGCTCAATACAGAACACATACACAGATAAGAATTGCAGGGTTTTACATGAAGGTGAACTCACAAACCCATTTATGATAGTATCTGGAGTTTGACAGGGATGTCTGCTCTCAACATTCCTCTTCCTTTTATCCATTGACTGGATCATGAGAGTAACAACACAGGATGAGAAAAATGGAATCCAGTGGACAACTATCAGACAGTTGGAGGATTTGTATTTTGCAGATCTTATTCTTCTTCATATTTTGAGGGCCCACGATCAATCTATTGATCATTCTGGGTCCTATGACATAGCACTTTTATCACATAACCATAAACAAATGCAGGAGAAAAACAACAAAACTTGACTCTGTATCCCAGTAAGTTGGACTTATATTTTAATATATTATAGAGAAAACCAAGATCTTAAGTCTTAAGAAAAAATGCAGTGGATAATGGGGGCATAGGCATAGGGATTAACTTGAGAGGAGCATCTCTTGAAGAAATTGAAACTTTTACATACCCGGTACCTGGAAACATCATAAATTAAAATGTGGGGACAGTTGAGGACATAAAGCCTAGTGTCCAAAAGGAGCAACAATGCCCTGCAAAACATCTGGAACTCAAGGGAAACACTGACAAAAAAAGTTATAAATATTCAATTCAAATCTCAAGGCACTTCTATGGCTGTGAAACTTGGAGAACAACAAAAACAAACATTAAAAAACTGCAGGTTTTTATAAACAGACAAAATCCTCAAAATAAGATGTTTTGACAAAAATTTGTAACACTGTCCCACTTTGGGAGAGAACATCAAGTGTTCCATTGGAAATGGAAATACAAAAGAGAAAATGGAGATGGATAGGGCACACAATAAGGAAACCAAACACTAACATAGCAAGACAGGCCCTGAATTGGAATCCTTAAGGTACCGTATGAGTATGAGGAAAAGATGAAGACCAAGAGCGACATGGAAAAAGGATTAGAGGCAGAAGTGAACAGAATGAAGAAAAGTTGGGCTGAACTAGCAAAGAAAGCTCAGGATAGGGATAGATGGAAAAGTATTGTGGATGGCCTATAATTCAAATGGAAGTGAGAAAGGCTAAGAAGTAAGTATTAATACCCATAATTTCATAATATTATTGAAACACCTAAATACACTTACTACACTTTCACTTACATCTCTGATTCTGACTAATAGTAATAATGATAATGCTATTGATCAGCTAGCCAGATACTGACCACGGACCACAATGTCAGTTTTTCTTGAAACTTAATTTACCTATAACTCATAGAAGAGTATTATAGAAATAGAAACACAGGCAGACGCTCACAGTGACTCAACAAAGTTGAAAGAGTCAGTCCGATCAGTCCTCATTTTTTTTTTTCCTCTCTCTTCTGTCCTGGTTCCCCAAACATCAAATTTTAAAATAAGTTCTGTTCAAGCTCTTTATTCTTGGGCTATGTTATGGCATGGAATAGAATTGTTAAATTCTAATAATTATTATTTAGACTTAGAGTTAAAGCATTGATGATTCAGAGGCCAGACAGGGTTGACTCAGAATCGTGGTGACAGAGCCAGGCAATCCTCCGAAGTCCGGTCCCAAATTATTTCCAATGATTAATCCTTACTTAAAAGTCTTGGGCATCATTCTGTTTTGAAATTCATGTTTGCGTTAGTGGACCATGTTGGATGGAGGTTGTCGGCCGTCGAGATGCACAAACCCCCGAGCGCATTATTACTAATCATGTGTTACAAGGGACAACTATCGTCACAGATGCTTGGCAAGGATATCAAAATGTCGGTCAGCTCAACAACAGGATTTATGCTCATACTGTCATTGTGCATGCGCGTGAATTTGTTCATCCAGTAGACCAGGACATTCACACAGAAAATATTGAAGGACTTTGGATGCAAGCAAAACGTAAACTCCGCTATCAGAGTGGTAGGCCTGCTAGTTCCAATCTGCCCGCCAGCTACTTGGGGGCCTTTAAGTGGCGCAACAGTCACCAGTCAGAACGTTTTCAGCTGCTATTTGCAAATGCTATGTGACATGTGCCAATGGCCAATGATAACGTCAACATTTAGTTTTAGTATTTACTGACTGGTTTGTAAAGTGACAGTTATTTGCAAAAGCTATGACTGACATTTCTGCTGTTTTCTAACAATACACACTGTGCATTGCAATTTTTTTCATACCAAATAAATACTAAATAGGGACCGGACTTCGGAGGATTGCCCAGAGCCGGAAATGTCCGGGAATACTGAAGCGTTAATTTTAAACAATACTAAAATTACTAATACTATCCGATTACTATCGGTGCCTAGATATCCAGGACTAAGGTCTACCTGCGAAGGTGTAATAAAATCATCCAAGTCAGTTAACTGAAGGGCACCACTAAAATTACTCGTCATGTTGAGACCTAGAGCCTAGTATATTCGCGTCGTTTGATCTCTATTTAATTTAACACTTATATATTTGTTATTTTGATTAGTGCTTGGTTTTTCTTTCACCGAGATCTAACATTGTTCTGGGATTATTCCAAGGTGAATTAATTAAATAGCTTGTTTCAAATATAAGCAGTTCGGGGCAAAAATATATTTTGACAATGTGATTGCGACTTTTAGACTTAGATCAAATAATAGCCTAAACCAGTTGTCAGCAGCCAGTGCGTGAGTGACTCCGGAGCGGCATGCGTACTTTGAAGGAATAGGCATAGGTGCTTTTTTTTTTTTTTTTTTTTTTTAATAATAAATACTTGATAACACTTAAATTTAATCAATACAATCATTGATCATTTAATGCATCTTCTCGAACTGTTATCAGAATCAGATACATTAAATTAAAATGATTTTATTTTGTTGTTCACTTTTTTCTCGCTGAAGAAGGCTTTCTGTCCGTTGTTTCGTTTTATTCCTTTTCAGGCTTTTACTACTAGGTAGGAGTAAATAATTACTACTAGGTAGGAGATTATTTACTTTTACCTCACATGATCGCACCTATTAAATTATACTCACGCAAAAAATGTTGACGACCTCCAGCCTACACGTAGGTATATATATTGACACTACGACGTTAGTAATCTTTCAACTTGTAAACATTACAAGTTTGGAGGTTTCTCTCGGATTCCACACAACATATTGCCTTAAATTAGTTCTTTTTTTTTTCTTTTATGGTACTGTTTTTGTTTGCCGAAAAAGGCTTTTTGTCGACTGTTCACATCTTTTTTATGTGTCTTCTTTCATGTGGCCCCTACCCGTACCCTATTAGCTTAGGGGTCGTTCGCAAATTACGTCACGCTTAGGTGGAGGATCGAGAATTTGTGACAGGGGGAGAGGGAGTCAAACATTTTTGACGTCACACAAAATTTATACCTAGAATTTTTTAATTTTGAAAAATCTTTATTCATTTAATTTTAAAAGCATTATTTTGAGGTTGAAATTGCCTCATGTATTTCAGGTACCGTGAAACTCAGTCGCCCACACCTTCTGCGCATATGGAAACATTACGCAAAAACTATTGTGGCTATTTTACATTTGGCGTGGGGTTTGGTGAGGATTTCATTGTTTTGCACTTTACGTCATAGTTTTCTAATAATACAACATCTTAATCCATTATGGGGAAAATGTTAAAGAATAAAATAAATACTAAAATTCTTAAGTCAGTTATGCACTTTACGTCATAGTTTTCTAATAATACAACATCTTAATCCATTATGGGGAAAATGTTAAAGAATAAAATAAATACTAAAATTCTTAAGTCAGTTATGAAAATTTTATGTATGTTTTGACTTTTTTTAGGTGTGACGTGACACTAAGGGGATGGGGGGGGGGGGTTAAAGTATTTGTGACACTTTGTGGCAGGGTAGAGTGGGGTCTGAAAAGTTCATTTTTGCGTGACGTAATTTGCGAACGACCCCTTATGTTTCTTGTTTCTCAACAGCAACCCTTCACAGTCTCCCCCTTTTCAAATAATATACTTTCCAGTGGTAGGAGACATAATAATAAGCCTAATCATTATCTGACTTGAATATATATATTCTTTACATATATTTTTTTTTAATCCCTTAATATGGAAAGAATGAATTATTATTATATTGTTCAGTGGCTTTTTTCCCTAAAAAAATAAATAAATAAATAAAATATTTATTATTAATATTTTAAAAATTGATTATCCCGAAAATGTTTGTATGAGCCGGTAAGAGCATGGACCATAGTATCATACAAAAGTGTAAATCTAAATGAGAGTATTTTCAGAAGAACTATACTGTACTGTATGTTATTAATCGTTAATAAGAATAAGATCTTCGCGGATTCTACTTTATTTAATTTTTTAATAATTACAACCTTAATAGTAAATACTAAATAACTATATTTTCAAGATGAAATAAATCTAACTTGATACAAAAATACAATCTTGTTCGTAGTTTTGAGCCGTTGGTTTCGAAAAAGGGACTAACTAATTTGTAGAAAATGTTGCAAAGCAAAGCATCAAAGTAAACTACTCCAAGTGAAATTATCTAAAAATGGCTAATGGAGGAGGGGATCCTGTTATTTTAGCAACAGCTGGATATGATCATAGAATTCGATTTTGGCAGGCCCATAGTGGCATCTGTCACAGAACCGTACAACATCCTGATTCAGTATCCTTTTAACTCAAACTCAATGTGTTGACTGTTCAGTACTGCAACTGTTACTATAATTGCCATTGCTAACTTACTAGTTTTGATCAACGAGATTCTATGTCACGATTTAAGTTAAATGCATTTAATGACTTATTAAGTTACAAATACTTACTTAGCCCTATTCACTGGAACGTGAGTTGAGATTTGACTGCTACCGATACTTCTATTACTCACTGACTCAAAGCTTTCCAAACTCTTCATTGTTTTTTTTTTCTTGGCAAAATACTTGAAAATAGTCTCAAGACCTAAATCATTTCATTTCGTGATAGCCTATGTTAGTTTTATTATTTGTTATTAGTTAGTGGCATACCAGGGATTCAAATAAGGGTTAAATTTTAAGTGAAAATGGCTTAATAATTCACCCATTTTAAAATTGATGGAGCCTTTTCGAGCTGTCTGTGCCAAAAAGACAGAGCACTTTTTACGAACTCGGCACTCACATTATTTATAAAAAATAAATAATTTATTTTACATTTACATATATAAAACTATATATATTCTTGTAGAAAATTGAATAAGCTAATACAATATTTATAAATCAAACTGAAATTTCAACATTTATGCATAATTTTTGCGTACAATTTTTGGTTAAACTGAGAATAAACATGACTTACGGGTGTAAAATGTGTGAATTTTTAGATGGATGAAGCATGAATAGATCCTAACACGTGTGTTTTGGGAAATAAGGCCCTTCAGACACCCCGGCATAGAAATCTACTCCTTTTCCTGCCCCCGGGGTACTTTTCCTGTTGCTACAAACAGAGCAGTCATTTTCAACATTGTGCACCCAATTATGGTTTATTTGAGCTGGTGTTACTGAGAAAGTTGTCTGCATAATTATTAGTTATTATTATTCTCTCTCACAAACATTTTAATGATATTTTGTGTAAAAATTAGCATAAAGTACTCAACTGGGGTGCTTATCCCATAAGGCATATTTATAGGCTCTATTTTTTCTAAAAATTCATAGGGGTCATCTCTATACAATTCAGAACCCCTAATCCTAAACCAAGGATTCACAACATTATCGTAACATAATCATTTTGATTGTTTTCATTACTTTCCTAGTTGTTTTCATCAGTGTCAGATTCACTGCTAGACAGCGAGAAATCAGAATCACTAAGTACTAAGCACATTTTGATCAGACATGTTCGAATTTCACAATATAACTATACACACTAAAAATAATTCCTGCTCACAAAAAAATTTAGTTCACCATCAATGAACGCCGCCATTACAATGCTAGGATGTGCAGGAATTCGTAAGAATAATTTTGATTCGTTGGTATAACGAGAAGGCAGCCATTCGTGAGGCTCGATTTATCGGGCCAGTGGTTCGGACTTTTGTCTTACTCGCAAGTCAACCTTGGGCCGATAGATCGCCCCTTACATCTCCAGAGGGTTTTAGTTGTCACCAAGTCAGGGTTATCAATAAGGCTAATTGATTTCATTTACTGTCAAAAATTGGAATTGAGTTTATTGAGACCCTAAAGACTGGTTTGGCCTATAAATTAAAAAATTTAATGTTCATATACCAAAACGCCCTATAACCTGTTCTTAAACTTACTGTATCTGATATTATTATTCATCGTAAATATTGTTATGAATGATTCTAATACTTAAAATTTAAATTATGTGTAACCTTTTTTTTAAAATATTTTAAAATTTAAATATATGTTAATATGTAAAATAAGGAGGGTAGGGGTAGAATAATCAGTTCACACTACCTCGTTCAATGAATGAAAACCATATTGAAGAAATTACCATGGGACTGTGTAGTGTGTTTGGTATATAGCTAGATATTGTTCTAACTTGAAGCCTAAGCTATCCTATTATTGGTGAATTCCATGGTAACAGACAAAACTTTCAGCAAAATAATTTCAATTAGCATTCAGTATAAATAAAAAATGTAATTAATTGTTTAATTTAACTATACATGAATTTGGGTATTAAGTTGGTAGACTATAAAACCATAGTATTTATAAAAATATATTAAGCATAGTAGTAAAAATAATCAATTTTGGAAATGTAACTAATGTAACACGAAATTGACATAATATTTGAGTTAGCATCTCTATTTTGTTTACCATTGATACTCCATGAAATGTGCTTTAACTGAATTACCCACATATATTTTCAAACCAATTATCTACAGTGTTTTACTTTTCTTAGGAAAACCTTTAAAAAACTATGTAAAAGTTTAAAAGCACATGTTTAAAAAAATACAGATTAATTAATTTAACTTCTATAACATGACTTTGTTACTGATGTATACGATAACAAAGTCAATTCTTTTACAGAATTAAAAATACTTTACTGTAGTAGATAAATAAACTTAATTAACTAAATATAAGTTACAGTGTTTTGATGCTTATCCATGATGAGACGTTGACCATGGCAATGAAAATTGTCTGTGTATATTTATTAGATGTAAACACAACAATATTCAACAAAATATCAATTAAAATGTGCAGACAACATGCTTTTAATTTAATTTGGCCACCAGGTTTCACATCAACCATAGATACAGTAATAAAAATGATTCCATACCAAGATGCATGAAATAAATTTATATGGCACTACATTTATGCAGTTTAATTGTTGGATGTTATGTCAACTTTTGCATTGGATTCACCTATTGTAACTTTCTAACACCTCAATGCAAGTATGGTAGCACCATGAGTGATTAAGCACCTCCAACAGATTTATAATATACACCACAAGTAATAACCTGTTAATATTTTTTAATGTAAAAAATGTATTTTTATTATAACATATTTTTTTTAAAATCCAATCCACTTAAAAAGACCACACAATTTTGGTTTTTAATATTTTTTAAATTTAATGTCCATAAATAGAATTTCATAAATGAAAATGCATTGATCTGGACAAGTTTGTGAGAAAACCACTGGCATAAATAAAGCCATATTTTAATAAATATTTTCCTTCATATGCATACAGCAAGTAAATGCGCTGGACATTACACCTGACAAACAATTAATTGCAGCTGCTGGTAAATATAATTTAAAAATAGTTTTTGTTATTCTTTATAACTAGTTATAAGGTAGGTTTTTTTTTTCCATGATGCTAAAAAGTTGAACAGTAGGTTGAAAATCAATTATTCTTTATAAACATTGTTCAGAGTACCAATTATATTTTTACCTTTTTTATTTATTTATATATTTTTATTCTTTGAGACTTTTACTTATTTTAGACTTTAAAATATTGGGTATTAGTTTATTTTATTTAACAATTATACTTTATACATTATACTCTTAACATTTTGTTAAATTACATTTTTTTAGTATGATGAAACTATAATTTATAAAAGAGGTATTTCTTCTTCAGGTTACCAGCACATACGGATGTATGATATTAACTCTTCCAACCCTAATGCATTGATTAACTATGAAGGAGTACAGAAAAATGTTACTGCTGTTGGTTTCCATGAAGATGGCAAGTGGATGTATACTGGTGGAGAGGACCACACTGCCAAAATATGGGATCTCAGGTAATGGCACTTAGGTAATTCAAAAAGTAAAGGACCTTTAGAGCATAACTATAATTATTTAATAATATTGAGTAATTGTTATAAAACATTTATTAATTTAGAAATATAGATTAATATTAGATATAATACAAATTACATTGATTTAAAATATGCTCTAACTCACTAGCAAATAACAACTCATATTGGAAGTTTTCCAGACCACATGCCAATGAAAGATTTACTCCATAACATTCTGGCTAAATGCAATCTCTGAAATGAAGAATTTAAATGCTGATGACATTTCCATGGACATGGCTTGGTCATGCTTTTTAAATGCCAGCAAACTCATTTCTCAAGAAATGGAAATTATTTATTTATTTATTTATTTAGGCATTTTTATATAGCGCTTATCATAAAGCTCTAAGCGCTTTACAATTATTAAAACATGTAAACTAAGTAAATACAAATGAGACACTAGGATAGTAACTACTATTCTATAGAAACAATGAAAATGGCTATAAAACGAGGACACTTTGACACTTCAGGATCAACCCGAAACATAAAATGAGGTAGGGCAAGGAGGGTGCATCACAGGTCATAGGCGGACCTAAACAGATGAGTTTTAAGGGACTTTTTGAAAATGGACGAGGTTTCACTATGACGTATATAGAAGGGGAGCTGGTTCCAGAACGTGGGCCCATGGAAGCAGAAGGAGCGTTCACCGATGGTCTTAGTTTTAGTTCTTGGGATTGAGAGGGTTCTACTGTCAATGGAAGAACGTAGTTGTCTTGTGGGGATGTAAGGAAGCAACAGTTCAGAGAGATAGACAGGAAAGTGAGGGTCAGTGAACGAGTTGAAGCAAAGATTGGAAGACTTGTATTTGATGCGAGAGGATATTGGAAGCCAGTGGAGTTGCCGCATGTGTGGTTGAATGTGGTCATGTTTCTTTAATTTAAAAATGAGTCTGCATGCTGAGTTCTGTGCCTTCTGAAGTTTTTCTATGTGGTGTTGAGGAATGCCTGAGAGAAGAATGTTACAGTAGTCAAATTTTGAAAGAATGAGTGAAGAGACGAGAGTTTTTGTGGCATCAAAGGAGAGGAGGTGTCTAATGGTGCTGATTTTTCTAATTTCGTTATATGCTGATCTGCATATATTCGTGACATGTTTGTCCATGGAGAGGGTGTCCGTAAGCGTGACTCCAAGGTTTCTGGCAGAGGGAGAGAGTGTGATGTCAGAGTTGCCAATAGATATAGAAGAAGGAGCGAATGGAGGGAGAGGTTTGTTTTGAGAGTGGATGAGAAGGATTTCCGTTTTATCATCATTTAGCTTCAGTTTGTTGCAAGTCATCCAACGCTTTACATCGTCCACGCACTCCTGTATGCGAAGGATTGTGGCATCAAGTTGATCAGGAAAGCAAGAGTCACTGATTTGAGTGTCATCAGCAAAGGATTGACTGGAAACTGAGTGGTGGCTAATGAGAGATGATAGAGGTTTAGTGTAGAGGATGAAAAGGACCGGCCCAAGGACCGATCCTTGAGGAACTCCAATAGACAGGGCTGAAGGTTTGGAAGAGCGGTTGGAAATAGAAACTTTTTGAGTTCTGTCAGAAAGATATGATTGAAACCAGTTTAAAGCTGAGCCAGTAAGTCCGAAAGAAAGATGAAGGCGGTCAAGAAGAATCTGGTGGTCAATGGTATCAAATGCAGCAGAGAGATCTAACAGAGTGAGAATAGAGAGTTTGCCATCGTCCATCGCGCGCAGGAGATCACTCATGACTCGGACCAGTGCTGTTTCTAAATAATAAATTATAACTGCACATGACAAAGAATCCCTTGCACAGGACGTTAGAGAATGGCATAGAAACCTTAATTGAATAAATGAATCCTAACTATATGATTAAATTTTCAAAACACATTTTTAATTTTTAAAAAGGTGTTAACAATGCTCTTTTCAGTATGCGCTTCTGGAATGACCCCAACATATTTCAGTCATTAATATTGCTTGCTTGTCACCATATTAAAAATTGTTTTAAAAATTTCTTTTAGATCCAGAACACTGCAATGTCAAAGAATATTCCAAGTAAAGGCACCAGTAAATTGTGTGACGCTTCATCCGAATCAGGTAATCATCAATTAAATGGGGCTTTGCTGATTTTTGTTTTTAATTAGGACTTTAGTGGTTGAACATTTTCTATCAGGTACCAGATACAAATTTTTGATACTTTTGAAAAAATATTATTTTGCAAAAGATAATTGATCACATTAGATTTCAATTTAACTTAGAAAGTAAAGTAAAATTAATTTTGTGAACAGTTCACATATATATACATTAGAACCAAACTTTTGAAACTTTAAAAAATTTAATGGGCATATTTAGCATCATTGTGGTTTTCTGAGACAAATTTTTTTTATCAAAACAGGGTGAGTTATACGTAGGAGACCAAAGTGGTTCCATACATTGCTGGGATTTAAAAACAGACGTGAATGAGCATTTAGTAAGATTTGTATTTATTTATTTAGAAATAATATAATTTTGACTTGTGATGTCTATAGAAATCTGAACTTATATTTAATCTTACTTTGTTAAAGTTGGATGAAATGTTTTGTTCTCTCCCCAAAAATTCATAATGGCATGTCACATTTCCTTTTCTGTGTGTCATTTTTCATATTCTACACAATTTTCTATCATGTTATCTATTATTTAAGTGATATTTTATAATGTTTTTTCGAGTGCAATAATGACTTTATCCTTTTTAGACATAATTTTCACTTATAGATGATAAAAACAATTTTAAGCATGTGGCCATTATTGTATAATAATTGATTTTGACCAACTTAATAACAAATCTTTTTAGATAGAAATGTGTTTTCATTTCTCAGATTCCAGAGCCAGATGCAGCAATAACATCAGTCAGTATTGACCCAATGGGTACTTTAATGGCAGCTGTCAACAATAAGGTAGTGTATAATAAATGTGACACTGTCTTATACAGGTGTGTAACTAGAACGAAGCTAGCATGCAAGGCTGCAAATGCTAGCTTTTTGTTCACCATGTGAAAATAAGAATACATTTTGATGTGAACCCTAAATTTTGGAGGTCCACTGAGATTAATTTAAATTTTCTTTCAATAATAAAGTTATAAGGGATATTCGGGTTTTTAAAGTTGCCTTCTGGTCATGGACCAGATTTATGTTTAAAATTTAAAAAGGAAATGCAATATTTACTTTAGACATGTCTGATATTTTATCTTCAAAACTGCGCAGTGTGAAATAGCCTTAGAAAACAAGCATTTCAGTAATTTTTAGGACAGGTAATAAGGTATGCGGGTCGGGACAGATACATGTTAAATGATGGTAGGGGTTAAGAGCTAGGAAGGATGAGGTAAGAGGGAAATGCCTTAGACTTATATAAACACTTTTTAAAATTAACATAACCATAAATTTTAAAAAATTGTTTAATGTTTTTTCAAAGGGAAATTGCTATTTATGGACTATGAATTCCAGTCGTTCAAATGGGCCTTCCAATTTGCATCCCAAAAAGAAATTTCAAGCACATACTAAATATATCCTTAAATGTCTTTTTAGTCCAGATTCCACGTAAGTATAATAAACCAATAATTTTCTCATTTGAGGTAACTTAAAGATAATATTTCTATAAAGCTTAATCACCAAGGATATTTATGGGTTTTTTCATTTATTGGAAATTTTAATAATGTACCAAAACATATCCGGTTAATTTTCCACACCTATTCTAGACCACAATATGTCAAGGTAAATTACCAATTATCTCTAACCAGAGAAATAAGCACTGGGGCACCACAAGGCTGCGTTCTCTCCCCTGTACTGTATACAATCTTTACCAAGATATTCAAAGCTTAAAATTTGCTGATGATACCACCATTGTTAGCTGAATATCTGAAGGAGAAGGCTTATATCGCAACTGATTTAAAAGCTTTATCAATTGGTGCTATGAAAATTTCCTCTAGCTGAATGTCTCAAAAAAAAAAGGAAATGGTTGTTGATTTCAGGAGGGGGGAACACCAGATTACAGATCTCATCATAAAAAATCAAAGTGTAGAGAAAGTAGAGGCATATAAGTACTTAGGTGTCACCATTAGTAATAAGCTAACTTGGCATGAGCACGGCCAAATGCTGTATAAGAAATTCAATCAAAGACTATTCTACCTCACAAAATTTTTGAAATTTTGGCATAAACAAACAAGTCCTTAACTTATTCTACAGTGCAACAATTGGAAGCCTACTTAATTTCAGTATTACCTGCTAGTGTGGGAATTCAACGTCTTAATATTAAGCACCGCATAAATCGACTAATCAAGAAAGCTAGGAAATAACACAAACTAAACATCCTTTACTGGGAGAACTATTTGAAAAAAGATGTTATACTTAAACTAAACACAGTTTGGATGATACATCTCACCCTCTTCATACAGATACTTAGGATCCGCCCCCTCTTTCCATCAGGGCGAGGACTGAAAGATATAAAAATTCTTTTGTTCCCCAATCTGTACGAATTTACCAGCGTGCTGCCCCTGAAGTCACAAATCTTAATGAGAACTAATATGTCCCTGATATGTCTAAGAGAACTCACGGAATGGCTGCTAGTGAAAAAATTTATTACAAATTTCTTGTGTTCTAATAGTTTTTTATATGTGCTGAAAATGTACAATGTAATCATAAAACATTTCCATTTTTTTTGGATCAATAAAAGAATCTTATCTTAAATGTAGCAGCAAACACTAACCTGTTTTATCGCTTCATGATTTTTTTTTAATACTGAGCTATGAATTTATTAATTTGAATAATGTGTTGTTAAAAAGGTTACTTTGATAAGTAAAAATGGAATTCCTGCTCTTTTAACAGTCTCTTAGCCACAACATCAGCAGATGGAACCTGTCGCATTTGGAGAACTGCGGATCTGTCACTTTGTACGGAACTTAAGGATAAGGCTCAACGTTGGGTTTGGGATTGTGCATTTAGTGGTGACTCTCAGTACATAATAACAGGTAAATAGTTGTCTCAGTTGTGCATTTAGTGGTGACTCTCAGTACGTAATAACAGGTAAAAATTTGTCTCAGTTGTGCATTTAGTGGTGACTCTCAGCACATAACAGGTAAAAAGTTGTCTCAGTTGTGCATTTAGTGGTGACTCTCAGTACATGATAACAGGTAAAAAGTTGTCTCAGTTGTGCATTTAGTGGTGACTCTCAGTACATAATAACAGGTAAAAAGTTGTCTCTGTTGTGTTCAAAAAAAATTTTAAATTCTAAGCTATAAGAATCTAATTCACTACTGGCACACATCTCATCTAAACTACTCAATAATGGAATCATTCCATTATCCCAAACAACAATTTCAATGAGATGTTAGTGCTTATAACTGATTTTTCTTTATTCAATTAACAACTTCCACAATAGGTACAGATACTCAACGAGAAGTTTGATAACCCTTACTTTTTGTCAAGGGAAACAATTATGTCTAATGAATATGTTCATCCACGACCACACTTGGTAACAGAGTTCTTTATTTACAAGTTCTCCTTGAATATTACACTGTTCAAAACCACAAGTTGCACATAATGAAAACTCCTTCCCAACAGCAAACAAGATGGCTGACACTCCAGTCTGAGTTCACAACAATCCTCTCACAAAACACTAAGGAGCACTGCCATCAACATAACTGAACATACTACCTCCTGTTCTCAGACTAATTTCATCTCTACTGGTTAACTATATCGAAACCCTCTCGACAACGTTCACTCAGCAAACCCTAAACCCAACACCTTGAGATGATCTGACCTTGCATAACGTTTCTCGACCAATCACATCTCACCCTCACAAAAACCTCTCACGATCAACTTTTCATAACACACATTCACGCTCCTAAATCTCATTCATCACAATAACAATAAAATTCATATGTTAAATAAATTAAAATCCTGTTATGAATTCCACAGCCTCATCTGATAATAATGCAAGACTTTGGAGTGTTAACACAGGAGAAATTAAAAGGGAATACAGTGGACATGAAAAAGCTGTTGTTTGCCTGGCATTTCGAGATGAAGTGGTTTCATAGCAAATGTAAAAATTATCCCATTTTATAATGGATTTGTCTATTTTGCAGAACAGAAAATATAAATATCTTTTCTACATGAAAACTCCTTTTTTAAAATCTATTTTCAGGTTCAAGAAATGTGATATGAACTTAAGCTGTTTTTTTGTTTTTGTTTTTTTAAATTTGAATTTCATGTGATTGTTAAATCCTTAAAATTAGTTTTAATCTAAGCTGTGCACTGCCTAATAGGAAACAATAATAAATAATAATAAAATTAAAATGAATTAGTTGGGGTTTAAAAAAATGCCTACTCAGGGTTGTCCTACGCACAGGTCTAGATCCTATCTTTTTCTAAAGAATAATGAACACTCTTCCCCAAACGTGACCTGTGATCCATATTTAATTATGCTTACACTAGATCATATGTCATGTCAAAGCAGAATTATGGTTTATTTGTGATTCCAGAACTAGTCCACAATAATGGTTGGATGCCCCTGCACTACTGAATATGTTATTATGTATTTGTCTGTGTACTGGTATGTGTTAAGAGTGAACTGGACTTGAATAAATCAGACATGTTTATTACAGAGTACAAATTAAAACCAATATTTTGCAGATTTGTGACTATTGTCTTCTTAAACTTAATGTCATTGAAAATAAACACAAAATGGAATTTGTATTTGTTTGTTCTTAATCCAGTGATAAGCCTTGAATTCTAATATGTAATACTTAGAAATGGTCTCAGTTTTTTCCAGTCAAAACATAGGAGAGACTTTAACATGAATAAATATTTAATTTCAATCCATTTATTAGTCACAACATTAACATACTGGTATTTAGAATTAGAGTAAATGCAAGAACACAAAATAAATGCCTTTTTTAGTGTAAAGAAGTGAATTTATTGCCCAAGCAACAAACTGACCAACAATCTGACAACATGAGCCAACACCAGAACAATTTCATGAGACTGAGAAAAACATCATGACAAAGACAAATATGTTCATTGTTAAGAATAACAAATGATTGCTTTATTTATCCATTGAGGATCATTTGGTTAGACACTAAGTTAAAATTATAAATTTTGTGGCTCAAGTGTTCTAAGCATTGGACATACATATACAGTTTTTTCAATATTTATTTTTATATACATCTTTGATTGGCTTCAATCATAAAATATTTAACATATTTCAAAATAGTTTCTGTACATTTGAATTTAAGAGAATCCAATAATAGAATAAAATTATAGAGCTAGAGGTACAAATGGGAGATACTAGACATGAAAACATAGGATGGAATTATTGTGCTGTTGTAAAATGCTGTCAATTATATAGTTATGTTAGTTTGCGATCATATTTATATTGGGAGTAGTTCATATACTCATAAATTGACTTTCTTTTTGTTAACCCTGAGAAGAAACAAAAATTGGGGGATAAATTCTGACAATGTTTTAATTGCTGCTAAATTAAATTTGAATATATTTATTTTATTCAATATTGACTAGCTCCTAATGAAAAGGATTGTTGAAGCAGCAGCTGCCCCGTAACAGAATTTGAGCATAGACTTGTAGAATGTAGATAACAGAACATTCACAAATTTGAAATAGCAAACAAAATAAAACTTCACTTATCTATTCTTGAAATTTATGGTATATAACTTCATTTAGCTAATCTTGTAATTTATGGTAATTGGAGAAAATAATAAAAATAATTTTAAATTTGAAACTAACAATTTGTTTAAAATGGAATGAAAAATTTGTTTTAGATGTATTTGAATTCAGCAAGCTACACAACTATCTGAACTTGTTACCACCATAAAGTATGATTGACAATGATGATTTGATTTAAGGAAAAATAGCTTAAATTTATTTCTGATGGCTTGAATAAAATCAATGCAATTTTGACAACTGATAGCAGACACGAATCTGAACTGTTCATTACTGTAAGAATTGGGGGGAAAGCACAAAATATAAAAAATGCATTAACAAACATGTTATTTAAAACCCCAAATGAATCAGAGAAGTTTCTGCCATTAACATGCCTTTGAAAAGACATGAACTAACTGATAATGTTGGTGAAAAAATTATGAAGCCACCCACCCCACACACAAATGTTTTAAAACAAAATATTAATTTGGTAATGCTGTAATCCTTACACCATGAACATAAAATCAAACCCACAAATAGAAAATAAACATGTATAAAAGATACTTTTAAAATAAGGTGCTTTGCTGCAATTAATAATTTATATTTTTGGTCAAGAAACTTTATTTCGTTTCTCTGCTAAACTAATGTGCTCTCAGTTAAACCTGTTTGACATCCATAATCTGATAAATGTATAACAAAATTTATACCATTCTTTATACATTAAAAAAAAAATCACATTGGTGTTAAGAAACAGGCATTTCAATATTTCACGCATTTTAAGGTTATCTTAAACATCTCTGAAAACGTTGAAATTACTATGCCTTTGAACTTTTACTTCAGCAAGTCAAAAAATTATAAATAAAGATGATTTTCTAGTTGGACTTATGAAAAGTATAATGGTAATAGATGTGCTTTAATACACACATTAATCTTATTTCCATAAGTATAATAATAATGTTGATTCAATTAACATCAATATTGTATTTACTTCAATGAAGTAATATAATAGTTTCATTAACTCAATGAATATACGAGATGAGATATGCAAGTTGAATATTTATCCAAAAACAGCACCACAGTTTGAGCATCTGCGCTGACGCATGGCCAAACAACAAAGGACACCGATGGGAAAGAAAAGAATAGCACAAACTACTCCAAGGCAAGTAAAGTCATCTTCCAGAACGCCAACCTGTCAAACAGAAAGGATTCATAATATTATGATCATAATTTTAGAAATTAGTCATTTCATAATTATATTTCATTTCTACTGTGAAACAGATTAATGTTAACTTGCGTTGACTCCAGAAGTTCACTGAATGCATAAATAATTTTCTTCTACTTCTATATTTTGAGGACCCACGATCAATGTATTATTTTTATATAACTCTTCACATCACCCAATTCTTAGGTTCTTAGCAAGTAAAAGATTATAAAAAATATTTAAAAAAGGTGTTATATGAATTGAAATTAGTTGGGTGAGCTTGGTTAAAAACAAAAAAGTGGTACTTTAAGTTTTAAAGACCCAGTGCTGTCTTCTCTTACAAAGGCAGCTATACCTGTATTCAGTAAGGCATTATTATCTAGAACATTTGCTAAGGTAAATAATATGTTGCCCTTTTACAGCTAAAAGGTTTGTTTGAATTTTTTTTAGCAGCACAACACTATCTACTACAAAGTTCCCTGTCCTTCTGCAAAAGCTGAGGGCTATTTCAGACATGGGGCAGTGATGTTTAATTCTTCAAAGTGCTTGCTACATCCTGGATAATTAAACTGGACTGTAGAATAGCATGCTCAGTGCAGTGAGCCAAGATCCTTTCAAGTTCTCTTAGTTCTCAATTTTGAGATTCTAACAATTGGTGGGAAAATAAAATTATAGCAAAATATGATCTCTATTAAAAAAAGCAAAAAGCAACTCACCCTGCAAGCAGGACACCCTCCAACTACAACAACAGACTGTGTCTGATTATGGACCACAAGATTGCTTGTCTGATATGAAGGGACACCCCCAGCTGGCTGTGAGTAAGCATAGCCAGATGGAGGTGGGTATGGGGTACCAGCTTTGTTAGGGACATATTCACCCGGAGATGGGTTATACGCACCACCCGATTGAGGTGGATATGGAGGTTGGTATGCTCCTGCAGGCACAGCTCCATAAGATGGCTGGTAAGCTGAAATGTCAATTTGATTAACATATCACTGACAATGTTTTTTATAATTTTTATTTAAGGGTGTGTACTCTTACGAGAGTACCACATAAATTAAACTCAACCATCAAGACAATCATAATAAATAGTTCTTGTTTTATAAGCACCTGCAGGTGGGGGATAGTCAGATCCTGCAGGTGGGGGATAGTCAGATCCTGCAGGGGGTGGGTATGGTGTTGGGTAGGTTCCTACAGGCCCAGGTCCATAGGATTGCTGGTAGACTGAAAATTTCAATCAATACATGTAGATTTTCTTAGATACTATTTGTTGTAATAGCTTTTAGAAACTCACAGGAGACCATGAATATTTGAAAATATTATAATTCTTTTGGGTAAATTTTAAAGATAAAGACTTAAGTTTAAGTAACATGGACTATGCCTATAAAATAGTTATATTTATATTATGGCAGTCAGTCGATTTAAATTACAGCATTTAGTAATATGATGTTAAAAAACAATTTGACATAATATATGTAGTCAACAAAGAAAATTTTAGGTTTAATAGAAATTAATTTTTATGTCAAGCTTTTAAAAAAAAAATGAAAGCTTAGACAAATACTTTAAAACAAGTTGTCCATTTACTTTAGACAAATATATGTGTATATTTCTAGTTGTCAATACCATAAGTATCTAAATTTTGTTTTGCAAAATGGGCATATAGTACAATTTTAAAGCTAAAACAGGCTAAGGTCTGTTTAGTTTCCAAATAAAATCCTTTAACTAAATAAAATACCAAATTTATTACTGTGCAAAGCAAACTAATAGCGTTGCTGCTAAGACTCCCTTTGAACTATTTGGAACAATTTATTCTAATTAATTTTTTAATTAAATTTTAAGGACACAATTATCTTTATATTGAAATAATCTTTTGTAACTTAAAGCAGAATTCATTTTTTAATATAAAAAATTCCTCTTTCAACAAACTATCAATATTTATTTGAACATGGGAGTAAAATTATGATGGTGAACTAATTTATTTTATGATTTCATTGCCTAACAAAATTAGTATTCAGGATGTATGTATATTTTGGAAAGAAAGGATGATGATTTCTGTAATTCATTGCAAACAAACATAATGTTACACATAATACATTCTCTTTAAGGAAAATATAAGACAGGTTAACTGGCTTCTCAAAGTGAAATAAAAATGCGTGAATGACAAATTGTACAGAGTAAAAATATTGTGAAAAATATGAGTATCAAAATGCACAGCTTAAATATGATAAAAATAAAAATGTTTTTTTTTAAATTGAAAATTTACTATTTTAAAAGTTTAAATAAAGCTTACCTCCAGCAGGCTGAGCTTGATTTTGCTGCATGCTTTCGTTATAACTGGGTGGTGGAGGAGCTGACATGATTAACCAGTTGCTAAAAATAAATGTTGTAAATCAGTAAAAAAATTTCCTACCACAACCAGACATACTGACAGTAAATAGCTTCCCCAATGAAACTGCCAAGTCTTGGCAAAGTTATTGGGAAATATGAAATGTTACTTCCTGTTTGTAGTTCTAATGTACCATAGGGCTGTCCTGTTAAGTACTTAACTACACATAAATTCCATTACATTACTTTTTCATTTAAAGTCCCTGCTTTAATTATATGTTTAAAAACAAACTTCATATTCTGACTTTAAATCTACTCTCACTTATATACTCAGGAAGAATCAGTGATTTTGAAATTGTGCCTGTGATATGTAGCTTGCGATTTAAACTTGACTACCAGACACATCCCATTATCAAGTAGTCATTTAGAAGAAGAAGATAAGATAAGGAAGAGCTAGGTCATTGTTTAAATGTGATTTCCATATGAGTGACACACTCAATCATAGACAGATACACAACACACAACCTAGTGTAGAAAATGGGCTGTAAGGTTAACGTTGCCCATGCGATTTTTTTAACAAGGCACCAATTCCATCACAAAGTATTTTCCTTTTAAAAAAAAAATGTTTTACAAAATATAACCTTTTACTAATTGAATGTAACAACATTTTAAATGGATTTTTTTTTGTATTAATCTTGACATTTTTTATAATCTAGATGGGGTATAACAGTTAATGGTAAAATTACATGCATGGCTAGACACATATTTTATTTCTTATATTTTGTGCTGAAGGTAGACATGCAAAAATGTACAAAGATTAATATGAATATAGAATTTTGTTCAAGAGAAACTTTCTAAAATGGAAGACAAATAAAAATTAAAAATAGTTTCCCTTTATGGTTTTACTTCTTTCAACTTTCTTTCTCTCTTCTATCCTCCATTTTTGTGAGGAACTTGTGCCTATCCTTTTTTTTTTTCCTTTCTTTCCTTTTACATATTTAATAGGGAAGGTTCTATATCCTTATCATGTAAAATTGTATATAAATTCATGTTTAAAATTAAAAATAGTTTCCCTTTATGGTTTTACTTCTTTCAACTTTCTTTCTCTCTTCTATCCTCCATTTTTGTGAGGAACTTGTGCCTATCCTTTTTTTTTTTTTCCTTTCTTTCCTTTTACATATTTAATAGGGAAGGTTCTATATCCTTATCATGTAAAATTGTATATAAATTCATGTTATTTTTTGTTTTTTGCCTTAAATGTGTGTTTTTGTCTTTTAATTTAAACTTAAGCTTAACTAATTTGTTTTAGTAACACAATTATTTCTTGGGGTATTAAAATAAGAAAAAAACAGTCAAGTGAATGCAAATAATCTTAGTAGTCTAAGTAAATCATATATAATAAAAACTGCTATCAAACTGTATCATACTCAATTACTTGACTGTTGAAATGAGCACTATCTCAAATATCATAAACACGAAGATGAGGAAATATTCACTCACATTTTTTTTGTTTATTTAAAAAATGGTTACCAGAGGCCAAGGCATTGTTAATCAATGTTACTTTTAATTTAAAGAATTTAAATTAGCTAGATATTTATATGCCTTATTTCATAAATTTCATTGACAATTTGTTGCCATTTTCTCATTATTTTCACATCTATACTTAGGCCTATACATTCCGTGAGACATAATTTTTTTAAAGATAAAAAGTTGGTCAAAGTGGGTGGATACTGTTAATAAGTTATAATTTAAGGATATTTATGAACTGGTCATTCTATCAAATAAAATAGTATTCTGCACTATATGTCCATAGAGCTTTTCATTAATTTGTTTTATACATTACATTTTGATAAGAGAGAACTGCAGGATCTTTATTATGTTTGCACTAAGCCTGGGCTAATATAAATGTTCAATTTTCCACTACGTAGAGCTTTAAAAAAAATTAAGCTTTTAAGTTGCCGAAAATGACCTAAGGCAAATACTCTACTTATTAATATCATTATATATTATATTTGTAACCAAGGTTTGTTTTGTGAGTGTGTTTTTGGTTTGTGTTTTGATGTCATTGAACAAGCACTTTATTTCTGCGAATACTGGGACTCCAACAAGAGCATTTAGAATTAAGTTCTGAAACTATAAATCTAAAGTTAAAAATCATTAATTTATCAGTTGATGTAGATACGTTTGTTTTTCTATGATGCTGTATTCAACATCATTATATCTTTAAACGGTAAAAATTAAATTTTTTCGGGGATAACTCAATTTTGCTTTTCCTTATGTGAAAGAGATGAGAAACCTATAGAAGCGACAAGGGTTTCAACTTCTAAAGGTACATTCACACTGCAGATTTGCTGAAGCCAAAAATCTTAGTGACTCCATGTTGAGACTCCACTAACACAGATTTTTCTTTGTAGTTGTTCACACTGAGTAGACACGAACTTTTGCAGAATATTTATATGTTAGCGCAATGGTCAGCAACCTAAGTCTGCATGTGGCTCTTTAAATAATATATATTCTTCTTTTTTTTTTTTAAAACAATATTTCACCAATCCATTTATGCAGGGGGAAAAACTTAAAAATGAAAAAGAAATCCTTAATTAATTCCATTCTTTAAAAACAAACATTGTTTCTCTAATCTTTTCTCGTCTTGACACTCCTATAAAATCTTACTTAGCATTTATTTCACAAATTTCAATCTTAAAACTACAAAATATGCTCACCAGTAGGGCTATTATTGAACATGAATAATGAACAAGGCTGCTCATTTGCTGACAACCCATGAGCAATGATAAAATATGACAGGATTGTGCCTGTCTATTGCCATGGGACAATGACAATGCCACAAAAACAGTGTATTGTCAGGGGACAATATATTGCAACTCTCAACAAATGTGTGAAAATAAAACTTGTTTGACTTGTAAGTAGCATGTTTTAGCATATTCTTGTTACAGTTAGTAGCATGTGGTCACAGAAATTGAGATCTCAAAGAGGCAGCTTGAGGGCTAAAATTAAGTTTGGCTTTTAATTCCTGCCTAATGCATATAAAACAGTAACTTTGATACTTGACTACCACTATATTGTTCATATTTCTTTTTTTTTTTTTAAATAAACATCAATTATGTCCGACATGCACCAAAATACTAGTTTCTTGATGATGCGATCATAATCTTAACCTGATTCCATTACATTTTAAAATTAAGTTTGGCTTTTAATTCCTTCCTAATGCATATAAAACAGTAACTTTGATATTTTACTACCACTATATTGTTCATATTTCTTTTTTTTTTTTTTAAATAAACATCATTTAAAATTTTTTAAAATGAATTATTATTTTTCTTTGACAATCATATTTTTTAAACGAAGAAGTATTTTTGTTTCTTTTTGTTTGTGGTTATTTTACATTTTTAAAAGGTGTTGATGCTGACAAAATTAAACAAAGTACAGACGTTAAATAAATCATTCTCAAATGAGACCAGTTTCAGAAAGGAATAAGGTGTATCTTTCCAATTGAGTTAAGATAAATAAAAGATTTTGGCATTTGCATTGGTGACAACATAAAAGAAATTAATTAATTAAACATTCTTAGACATTCTAGAAGCTTAAAACTTAGTACCAGAGAAGCTGATACACTCAGATCCATAAAAATTTTGTTAAACAATTAACAAGGGCAACATTTATTAATTTGTATACTAATAAAAAGTCCCTGCCCTGTTCACTTTCCTGAAAATATTTACAACAGTAAATAATAATCAATATGTGATTGTGAATGTGAGTGTTGCGTTTATTCCTTTTTATGCGAGTTTGAGATATTGAACTCCATTTCATACATGAAGCAAGTTAATATTTGTGAAATGATAAAATTACTTGCACATCTCCATGTTGTCACTACAACAGGTGATGGGTCATACTTATTCTGGACCCTATAACTATAATTAATTCATTATTATCGATCATTTCATTGGGCTTGGGCGCAAAGCATCCTCATTGACAGATGAGATGCTTGGTTACACTATATTTATATAACTTATTATATTTTAAATTATATTATAATCTAGGCCCCATGGCCTTAGCCTTAATTAACTTAGATTCTAAATAAATTTATAAAATTATTGGCAAAATCTCACAAATTAAAATTTATTTAATATTTAGTTTAGTGGGCTTTGGGATTGTTTTTGTTGATGGCACTCTTGTTGTTTCTGTATGTGAGCAGGCCTATACTATGGAACTGTGTGTTAGTACTGTTAGATTTGAGTAGGTCAAGTGTTAGGACACTGTACTGTACAGTCACACTGACACTGACAGTCAGTAACAGTAAGGTATTAGTATTATTACAATTAGTATTATTATTAGTCAAGTTAGAATATTTAAATTAATAGGCTCTAAAAAAACAAAACAAAGCCTTGTACAAAAGCAGACTTCAGTAAGCAGACCTATAAAAAAAAAAAAAGAGGAACTATGGACCACGTCATGACTACTTATGATTTTTAGTACACTTTCAGTTTCAGATTTACTCTGGCTCTTTAATACGGGTGATGGCAGAAACAAAGACTTGCTCTAAATAAAAGCAAATTTATAGTGCGTACCTGATATCCTTAAATCTAAAAGAGCCTCTAAAAGAATTGAGAACTTTTTAAATATTACACTCCCCTTTTGTCATTAAATGTGACCATAAACTTGATCATGTGATTCTGAAGCTTATCGTCCTGATCCGGAACCGATTATAAGTATAAATAAACATCCGGTGATATTCGTATATAATCAAACTTCCGTAAATTTACGAAATAGCATTGTGGCAGCTTAGTTGCAACTCAAGTCTCAGATATTAAAAGAATGGTAATAATTAAAACAAACGATTATTTTCAGTGCTTGTTTGTTTGTTTGATGACATAAAATAAATCGTATAGTAAAACAAAATAATGCGTTCAAAAACTACTTTGACGCAAAATGTGAACTGAACTTGAACTGATGATTGAGCATAGTGTAACATACAGCACCATGAAATGATTGAACATACAGTTACAGCACCATGAAATGATTAAAATTAAAACATGCAGCACCATGAGTCATGGCATGACAAAAATAGTTTGTTGTTTGTTTTTTTTAAAGATTTATATTTGATAGATTTTGTGCAGGTCAAAACGGGTAGAGATTGTATAACAATACTCTTAATATTCGCGCCGTGGGCCGTTGAAAAATGCTGTGATCAGGCTGAACGTTTACGGTGTG